CATTGTAAGTATCATCTCTTCCACCAAACACAATCTCTCCTCTCGCTCTCTTGCTTTCAATCGGTCTGATAAGATTGTATATATACATTTGTGATGTATCAGGAGAAGGTCGGGTCGTGGTACAGCAACCCAGGATTGGGAACAGCAGAAGCTGGAGCTGGTGGCGGTGGTGTCGGGAAATACTTGAAAGCTAAGAGTAATATACCCACTAAAGACACTAATGGTGCCATAGACTCTGATCTTGCAACCATTGGAGTCACTAAGAAAAGGAAAACAACTTCTGCTTCAGCCTCCACAGGGTTTAAAGATTTCTCTAGCTGGTAGGTTAAAACATTTTTCTTCCAACTTTGTAAAACTGTTGATGTTATAGGACAACATTGAATCTTTGATGTTAAAAAGCTAAAGCTGAGTAAAAGATTTATTAGAAACTATAATCCTCACAATGGTGTGTATAAAAATCGTCTAATCTACAAAACAAATCGGCAACAATGATCATCAGCACAGAGAGATCGGTACGAACATATTTAGTTGTTTGTTTGTCTTTCTTTTTTTAAAGGTAGGTGCCATTTACTGTGCCAGTATATAGACACTCTCGACCACATCGGGAACCCGAAATTGGACTCCAAAGGCTGATCAGCAGGACCTCCTATAACTAACGGTAGCCACACGTATCTCGAATCCCGCAAATCAGCTGGGTTCCACCTGTCCGCCATGAAGATAAACGCTCCGGGAACACCCGGTAAAGGAATCACATACGTGCTCTGCGCAAAGAATGTTGTTAACCGAAAAACTTTGTTACCGCCGATACACGGATTCCCCAACTTCTCCCATGGACCCATTATAGATTCAGCCGCATGAGCCAAGGCTTCATTTGGTGCCCAACCAGTGCACCAGGAAGTGACCATGTAATAAGTATTCTCATGCTTGAAGATAGCTGGAGCTTCCCTGTGTTGTCCAACCATTACTCTCTTCACAACCGGTGTCACATCTAGGTAATCTTCGGTCAAGGGTCCGATATGAAGCACACTGTTGACTTCAGATGAATAAAACAGATAAGCAACACCATCGTCATCTTTGAAGACAGTCATGTCTCGACTATCGAACCCGTGTGGACGTTTGCTGTATAGATACTTAAATGGACCTGTCGGGTTATCGCTAATGGCTACACCAACTGAAGCTTTAGTGTAGTTTGCATCGTCGATATGCATCCACATCACGTACTTTTCTGTCTTTTCATTGTAGATAACTTTGGGTCGCTCAAGAACATTGGATTTATGCAAATCGTGGGTCTTGTTTGTTTCTTCAGCTCCAAGTACAATGCCTTCATTTTTCCATGTCCATAAGTCTTTTGAAGAGTAACAACCTACTCCTATAATATCAACCTGAAGACCACACAAGATCGAAAATTTAACCCAAAATATTGATAGAAGTTGACCGCAATAAACCATAAATCTTAGGGCGAAAAAAGTGGCACTTACTCTAGCTGGTCCTTTCTTGTGAGCATGGTAAGTTGGTCCATCTTTATACTCTCCATACCAATAGTATGTGTTAGATTTCTCGTCAAGCAGAATCCCTCCGCCATGAGCTTGAATTGGATTTCCTTCCGTATCCATCCAAATTTTCCCGGGGAAGTAATGCATCGTATCGTTCCTCATATCCTTGGTGGGACCAAAGGAGGCAGTTTTCATATCGGGAAAGAAAAGATGCCGAATTGGCGACTTCTCGTCAAGAAACTCCTCGACCAGAGGGATCGGTTTTCTTGATTTCCGTTTACTAGTACGAGGAGAACGCTTCCTAGGTGGCGGCATTCTCAAGATCTCTTCTTCAACTCTTACGAGTTCATGAACAATAGGATGATGATGAAAACGATGATGTACTTGTTGTAACCGATCAGAAGGAACTTCTTGATCAATGTTATCTTTTCTGGTATACAGCGAGATAAGATGCGCCATGATGAAAAATCCCACGACGGTCCATACTATAGTAAGCAATGAATATCTGCAACCTCCTGCATCATTGCAATGCAAAGATGTTGGTTTCTTATTGTATTTGTTTTTCTTCATTATCCTCTTTCTATCTCCTAAGAAAACACTGTAAATAAACAACACCTCAAACTCTGTAGATCCCAAACCAAATATCTAATGCAACAAAATTAGCTCTTCAAAACCTCACAATCACAAGAAAACTTATAAGCAAACTAAAAAAATCAAGCAATCAGATATACAAATTCATCAAAATTTCTCCATGGTAGATCGAATCTTTGGTAAATAGAAACACAGATTTGATGCATTTCGAATCAATTAGTGCTGATTTATTAAGAAATAAATCATAGCAAGTTGATTAAGCAAGATATGAGCTCAAATCTGGATCTAACAGATTAGCCTCTAATAAACAACACGAAACAGAAACAAGTTCCGACAAATTAGGATACGGAATCATCGGAATCTTACCTGTAAATCCCCGGAGTCCGACAGAAGCCGAATTTCCCGACATGTACACAGTAGATTCGCAACTATCTTAGCTTTTTTCCTCCGAAGCAAACACCGAAATCCACACTTCTGTCCGAATCAAACTCGGTCTGGAAACGAAATTAGGAAACGAGATTTTTTTGGGAGATTTAGAAAAAGTGACGTTTAGTTGAAATGGATCTATCGAAGTCTTTGATGATTCCGACGTGCGAACGAAGCCGAGACTGATGATGATTTTCTAGTCTTCTTCTCCTTTGATTCAGCTCTGATCAATTTCTTTTTCTCTCTGCTTTCAATATTTCCCGTTATATTTAATGATTAAATTTAAGTGGTGGTGGTGATTAATTAGTGCAGTAATCTCTACTATTATCAATGTTTTAAAGTTTAATGCATATCATTGA